ATATTCTGAGACATAAATATATCAAAACAAATAAAAATACAATTAGATCTAATGCTTAGAAATAAATATTTTAATTCATATGTGCTATTTCACTAAATCTAGAAATATTAATGCTTTAGTTAGATGTAGAAAGTTGATGGTAGAAAAATAAAATCTATTGTACCACTGAAAAGCTTGTCAGAAATATGTACTCTTGAGATTCAGAGGATGAGAAAAAAAATGTGTACTCTAACAAGCAAGCTATATAAACTGAATCTAACTCAAAAAACTTATTTTAGATGCATATAAAAACTGAAAAAACAGAATTAAAGACTTAGTCAAAATAATGTTTTAAAATTTCCATCCTAAATTTATGTGAGATAAAACGCCATTCTTTTGTTTTTCTGAATAGAGGAGGTTTTTATCAACTTATTCTATTTTAATAAAATGTTTAGTATCAGTGTTTTCACACAGAGATTCTCTAGCTTATTTTGCCACATTTAAATTAAAAACAAAGAAACAAAATTCCTGTTTGATCATGTGAAAAATATTTGCTCAAATGTGAATACATTTATGGTCATTAAGTAATTGACTACTGATATATCCCTGAATATTGCTCACCTTATTAACAAGTATATACAAAGACTGAAAAACATGTAGATCATGCAAACAAGTGTAAGTGTAAATAAATACACCAAAGAAAAAAAATCCATACTAAACATGTCCATAGTTAAATAAAAATGTTAAAGAAGTTTTACCTAGATATTATAAAAACATAGAAAGTAAAACATTAAAAAAATAATTATATAAAGAAAAGGAGGGGGGGATGATGAGGAAGCAGGAGATTGGGATGGGAGATGTAATTTGATCTAAATTCCCATATGCTCCTGTAATATCAAAAATTCATTTTGCAATATTAATTTTGCTCTTAAGGTAGAGACTTTTAAAATGACCATTCTCAATACTACAGCAATTCTTTCATGATTTGGACATAAATGAATTAAAGTGAAGAAAAATCAGTAGATAAGACTAAAATAAACCAGATTGTAGCACCCTGTAAAGAGCTAAAATCTCCAGTGTACAAACAACTGATAGGAAAGAAGAGAAAATCAGAACCATAATAAAATGACAAGCTCAGAAAATCACTCATTTTTAATTGCATCAACAAAGATAATTTATAATTTTGATTATGCAAGCATTATAATTACTGATAATTGGGTCTCTCAGCTTTTAAGTGCCTTCTCAAACATGAGCTCTGCATATGGTTGTGCAGAAATCAAAATTTTCAAGAGAGATGAGACAAGTTTGTAATATTAGTCTTATATTCTCAATACTTTAGATGCTGATTGGTGCTCTGAATGGTTGTGGTTAGAAATCTTGTTGGTATGATGTATCAGTGATGTCACTGCATTGATGGAGACTACAGAATAATATGTAATGGTGCAATGTGGTGATGGTAAGCTTTGTTACTCAATGTTGTCAGGCACTTTAAGAAAATTAAAAACATTCATGATAGTGCCAGTTTTTCAAGACTCTAAAATTATGTTCAATTATATGTGTATGTAATTATAAACGTGCATCACAGTTGACTTTGAAAAGAATGCAGCGCCTTGCAAGTGCACTATTTGAATAGAGGTAAGGAGAACTACAGTCTAAGGACTGCAAAAGTCTAGATGGAGAAGACAAAAGCAATGACACTTGTTTTCTCTATAGAACAAAGAGACAAATGACAACAAAGATGTTCAGAGAAACTTGCAAAATAATCTAGAGTGTAGGGTAAGTTGTATTAAACAATGAAAATTAATATGTAACTGTATAGGTAAACCAAATCATTTGTATCTTACAGTCTTTTTTTTTGGTAGCTAGGGATATTATAAATGGGATAATCACTAACATTCTAAATATAATGTTTTCTAGTAAGTACATTTTCCCTTTTTCTTTTTTTTTTTTTTTAAACAGAGACAAGAGTCTCACTCTGTTGCCTAAGCTGGAGTGCAAGTGGGACCATTATAGCTCCCTGAAGCCTCAACCTCCTGGGCTCAAATGACCCTTTCACCTCAGCCTCCCAAGTAGCTGGGACTATAGGTGCACACCACCACATCCAGCTTATTATTGTACTTTTGGAATCATGATATGTAGCAACCAATCTGGGAATTATTTATTCATAAAAGATAACATTTTCCTGATAACTCCAACCTCAGAAAAAAATGTATTATGCCTGACTCAAATATGTTATTACTTTTATGAAAAAAGAGTCATATTAAAGCAATTATGTCTATACATAATAATTATCATTATTTGAGATAATTTGCATTGGGGAGAAAAGCAGGCAATTAGAAATTACATATTCAAGGCTGGGTGTGGTGGCTCACACCTGTAATCCCAGCACTTTGGGAGGCAGAGGCAAGCGAATCACCTGAGGTTGGAGTTCGAGACCAGCCTGACCAACATGGAGAAACCCTGTCTCTACTATAAAAAACAAAACCAAAAAACCCCCACAAAATTAGCCAGGCATGGTGGCACATGCCTGTAATTCCAGCTACTCGGGAGGCTGAGGCAGGAGAATTGCTTCAACCCAGGAGGCAGAGGTTGCGGTGAGCTGAGATCGTGCCACTGCACTCCAGCCTGGGTGACGAGAACGAGACTCCATGTCAGAAAAAAAGAAAAAAAAAAAAAGAAAAAAGAAATTGCATATTCAGGTTCTAGCAAATGCAGTTCTCTAATAAACACTAAATAAATCATAATACAAGTTACAGTTAAACCTAATTGTATTACTATATAGGATGTACCATTTTTGTACCTATATTTTATCTTCCTTTGCTTCTCTGGCCTCTATCGGTAGGCAGCATGGTAGTGAACACTCTAGGGGATCTTTCTGGTTTTAGGTAAACCTGAGTTTTAAATTTGGTTCATATCACCTTTTAACTTCGGGCAGTTTGCTGAGCTTCTTTGTTTTTGGTTTTCATTCATCTGTCATGTCAAGCTGGTAATAATTCTGCCATGATTTTGGTTTGAATATTGAAAGGCATTACATAAGCAAAATTCATCTCATAAATATTAGTTCCCTTTCCACTATGTATCTAATCTCCCTATTAAGCCTAAAAATAATAATTTTTTATTTTGTTTTATTAAGTCTTCAACATTCTACTTATAAAAGGGATTTTTTAAAGGTGTTTTAGATAAGAAATAAGTTTCAACTAACTGATCACGAATATCTCTTCATATTTATATCATCTACATAAAAACTTACATTTATATCAGATATCTTTTAGTCTTTTCTATATTCTTGATTGTCATGTTGTACAGCCAGAAAAAAATGAGTAAAAATTATCTAGATTTTTTAAAGTGCACATTCCAACATAACAAATCTAATTATTTTACCTATTTCTTAGTATTAGGCTGAGGCCAATAAGTCCATGAGCTAAGGTGTTGAAATTTGGTACCAAAAAAGTGATATTTATGAGTCAGGTAGATTTATACTGAGAAAACACCATGTCTTCCAATGTGAAATACACTAAAACCTGATCTGTTGTCTCCTAAGGTATGCTAGGTGAACGCAAAAAATGATTAGGAAAGGAGGTGAGGATAGGTCAGGAAAAGTGCAAACTCAATGTTCTATTCATAAATTAGTGATGGCCTATTTAAGTAGTGAAAAATATGGGGGGCTCCATTAACACGAATGAAAAAATTCTTAAAGTAGCCATGAATTATTTTGATACCTTAATTAATGACACCCTTCCTTCTGTACAATTTCATAATGGGGGAATACAGATTAGTGGGGATTGTAGTGGTATACACTGACTTTGCTTCATGATATCTCAAATGTTTAAAACCTATTGTTCCCCAGAGGAAGAAATATGTTCAGCATTAATTGTTGCAGAGGCGGAAGCCAAATATATCTCCTCCTCCATTTATGTGACTAATAATGAAAATCCTAGGTTGATACTCTTTTCTCAATCTTGAAAAGATTCTGCTAAAGCAGCAAATCTTCAAACAAGTTCAAGAGGGTGGGGAGCGTGAACAAGTAGAATAATTTATATTACCCTGGAACAATTCTGAATCCTGTAGGTATGTATGTCACTGTTTCATGTGTGTTCTGGTTTAACTGTCAATATTTATGCATGGCAGTTAACATGTGTGCATATTTGTAACTCTGTGCAGTGCTACTGCCAGGTGTGACTGTACAAATCATGTGCGTTGAATGTGCAATTTTTACTTTCTTTTCTAAAAATTTAATACAATCAGCGTTAGAAATAACGAATGAAGGCTGGGCGCGGTGGCTCAAGCCTGTAATCCCAGCACTTTGGGAGGCCAAGACGGGCGGATCACGAGGTCAGGAGATCCAGACCATCCTGGCTAACATGGTGAAACCCCGTCTCTACTAAAAAAATACAAAAAATTAGCCGGGCGAGGTGGCGGGCGCCTGTAGTCCCAGCTACTCGGGAGGCTGAGGCAAGAGAATGGTGTGAACCCGGGAGGCGGAGCTTGCAGTGAGCTGAGATCCGGCCACTGCACTTCAGCCTGGGAAACAGAGCGAGACTCTGTCTCAAAAAAAAAAAAAAAAAAAAAAAAGAAATAACGAATGAAGATAACCAAAGAGCAGCCAGACAAATGTGAATTGGTTTTGACGTGATGAGAAACTGATCAGTAAGTAAATAAACCTCCTTGGAGAAGGCCACTGAAATGCACCCAGCAGAACGTCTCTACTAGAAGGTAATAAAAAATATATAATATAGCCTTTGACCTAAAACCTCATGATTATTACTTTGTCATTTATTTCCCCCTGGAACATGATATTCATATTAGTTTAATGTACCTTTTCAGAGAATTCAAGACACTTTTTGGGAAATAGAATTTTTTGTGTGTGTTTGGAAATTTATGATTGGAGAGTTACTACACAATTTAGGGGTTACACATCTTGAGAAATCCGAGTTGAATAAAAAAGAACTAAAAATATAAACATAGCTAATTCAAGAATCAAGATTGGGTGAAACTAAATTAAAAACAGCCGTAAAGTCCCACATTTTTTCCTAATTTATTTACCTATGATATTGGCACATCTTGTTTTACTTAACATTTGAAAAATACAAGTATCTCTTCATATGCAAAAGAGCAAATGTTAAATGAAAAACTGAATTGTATATAGCTTCCTAAATATGAGCCACATGCTTAAGCAGTGAATTAACTTTATGAATCAAATCTTTAATGTTAACTATTACAAAAGCCTGGTATCCAGGTGCAATCTTACCAGAAAAAAAATAGCACCTGCCTTTATTACAATAAAAAAAATGAATGTCTAATTTGCTTTGACATCTTAGGAGTGACATGACACTGCTTTAATAGTCAAGCACTAAATACTTTTTAAATTAATCATAATGTTAAACTTCAGATTTATAGATGCAAATATATTTATAGCTTTAGTCATACTGTACAATTTCTTTCTTGTTTAAAAGTACTTTCTCAGTCAAAATGGTATTTATAGTTTAAAAAGAATATGCCTCTGTATTCAGGAGTGATTCAGGTTCCCAGATGTTTTCACATAGTTACGAAAATGGGAAAGTGCTGAATTAACCTGGGCTGCAATATTTCAAGCTTTTTGCTATCAGGTTATAAACTATACATACAATTGCAAGTCATACAGTGCCTCTCTTTCTAGAAGGCTTTTTACGTTTCCTGGCTTAGTTATGTCCAAAGGCAGCAGGAAGTACTGCCATTCTTATCCTAGGAGACATTTCCAGTGGTTGAGCACAAGGCCTGTTTGTGGTTTGCTTTTACTCTTGCATTTTGTGGAAGGGAGGGAGCTGAGACAGCTTAGAGAGTTCATTAAAACCACCTCTCACCCTTAGTTGTAGTCAGATGAAGTATTCATAACACTAACCTCCAATTACTACTATGTGTTGGGAAAAATTAGAATTCGGTCTACTTACAATTCTGCCAACTAGGATTTTACTTTGATATTTCAGTATAACAGCGAATCTGGATTGAGTGCTATTTAAAATTAAATCCCTGATTATTACTTTCTGGATTACGAACTAAAATCCTTGTAAAATCAATGGATGTGGTTCATTGTTAAGAGTCGTGCAGACTTTTACATGTTAGGTAAGAATTCTAAAAAGTATTTGAGGGTTTTATTGTCTAGCACCAGGTACTAATGCCCCCTACTCAAAAAAAAAATCATGCTCATGGATTAATCAAGTCTAACAGTGCTCAGATTTAATGGTTTAACATTGATTTTCTTTTCTTTGTCAAATTTATATATGCAAATATTTTTATAGCAGTCAGATATATTTTTGAATAAGGATCACCCTCATTTTTACCCATGTGCTTATCTTTAAAACTAACATTGTAAAGTAGCACACAGACATATGTTTCTTTTGTCTTCATGGATTTTTTACCTTAAAAATAAATTATCGCTTCTTTTTAATTTGTTTTTTATTCTCCAGACACTCTGTGTACATGTGGGTAAGCATGTGGGAGTATGTGTGTTTGTGTGTAAGAGGAGATAATTAATTGTCTCTCATCTCTATCTCATACATTAATATCAAGCAAAAAAATGAAATGTATTAAGGATCACTTTGTAGGATTAGGCATCCTCCTTCTACCTACTTAAACTAGGGGTTTGAAATTCAGAACTTTCCACATAACCAAGACCGAAAGTCACTGGGAGACTTTAAAATTAGTATTTTCACCACCACATCCAGAGTCAGGTATGGAAATAAACCTGTAGCATGGATTCTTTCTATGCATAATCTCAAAATTTACCCAAATAAGTTTTAAAACTAATTTAAAATTTGCCATTGAGGAAAATATCATCTCCATCCTTAATTGTGACTCCTTATTTCAGCTAAAAACTTTTCCAATACTTTAAAAAAACAAAATGAAAAACAAACTGCTAGGGAAAGCAATAAACACTGAAATCAGAGATGTGATTCTTGTTAAATATTAGTTTCTCTTTCTGAGGTTACACTCGGTGGATTTGAAACTTTGACATTAACATCTTCCGAATGTTTAGATTTGCTCAAGCGTTCCGATTCTCTGGTTGTCTTTCTTGCACTTTGCTCCCTCCTTTCCTTTGCAAGCAATCTATAGTTGATAGCATTGCCAATGAGCAGCCACACGCTTGCTGCTACCACAATAGCCCCACAGGCCATGTACATGTATTTATAATCTCCAGTTATATCCACCAATTTACCTAGAAGACAAAGAGCATCTTTTTAAGTTGGCATCATAAAACATTCATATAATGATAAAAATTTCAAATAAATTATTCTTCAAAGTATATTCCTCTTATTTAAATTAATATCAAATAAGACTTTAAAAATAAAAAAATCTAGATTATGACTTCTATATATGCTTAGTAAAGGTATGCAGAGACACTCACAGTATTATATTACCAGTACATTAAATTTACTAAAAATTATTTCTCCCACTAAGATATACAAACAAGACAAGTTAGGTATATATTTTTTGTGTGTATATATTAATACATATAAGAGTGAGGTATATTTTTATATCCATACATGTAAATACAGATATCTCTATTTACAGTACACATGTTAGGATTGCTTCACCTTTTCCATGCTTCCTTTTCTCTTCAACAGAGAAAAATTACTTTCTTTAGGAGAAACCCAAAGACTTTTACATGGTTCCTAACAGTGTCTAATATTTACTAAGTGTTTTCTCTATGCTCCATACTAGCCTAAGAATTTTATCTGTAATATCTCACTCTATCCTTACAAGGAGTACTGTGAAGTAATCTGGGCATGGTTACGTAGCTCGTTAGTGGTAGAATCTAGACTCTTAATTGAAGTCTGTCTGGACTAACTACTCTGCAGAATGGCTTCACCTAACCTGTTGGTTAAGTGTAACACTATTTGAGCTAATCCCAGTTTCTTACTTTATCTGAGTCTAAATTATTAAGGGCAAACTAATCAGTAAAATACTACTTGTTCCATTTGATTATTGAGACCATTTAAAATTTAACCTGGTGCCATTTAATCTAGACGTTTACTGACTTTTAAAATTTTGTCAGCTTATATTTAGTTTTGTCTCTTGCTTATGCAGGCATCTAATTCTTAGTAATTATTAACAGCAAAATTTAGTGTATACAAATCTACATAAATTAGCATATGTATTCCAAGTGACTCTGATATACAACTTTCAAACCAGTCTGTTTAGTCAGAATCCATAACATTCTCCCTAGAATCTAGTCAGTGGCTCAACATTAACTTTGTCTACTTGCAATATATTACCTATTTGAACAAAATTTTCTGTTTTAATCAGGTAGATGGTAGAATGGTTTTAAGTAAGCATGATATATTCATAAACATAACAAAATTGCATAATTTTAATTTTCCTTCCTAACTTGAGTCAAATATTTCTATTTCTACAATGATTGTTATACTTCTAAATATAAAAGCATTAGATCCATGGCCCATCAGAGTGAACACCACTTTGGGCTGCCACATCAGCATACTTTCTAAATGTTTTAAGAATTTTTTAGCGTCATCAAGAAACCAGATATGCTTTCCAGAACTAAAGCTTCAATTCTTTCTGAGAGGAGCAGTGAAAGTATAGTCTGAAAAAAACAAATATGAAATAGAAACCACACACTCCCTACTTTTCATTGCTATGCTGCAACTATGTCAGAAATAACAGCAATAATATTCAATCATTCAAAAATATTAACTCAGTGCCTACTATGGGCCAGGCAGTTCTAGCAATAATCAAATACTATAGAGGAGAAGTCAATCTAAAAGTCAAGACAAGTTGATGGGTGCAGCACACCAACATGGCACAAGTATACATATGTAACAAACCTGCACATTATGCACATGTACCCTAGAACTTAAAGTATAATAAAAAAAAAAGTCAAGAAATATTAAGGGTAGCAGATGGCAGATATGGAATGAAAAAATGGATATATAATGGCTACAGTCTGAGAGTTTCAACAATAGGTCTAAAATCAATTACTGCCATTTGCTACCAGTGGCACACGGTTTGGCAATGTTAATGCAATAAGCATTCAAAAATATTGAAACTGTTTTTTAAAAATATTAATGCACATTATCTGCTCAGGTGGGAGTGGCCACATAAGATTCCTTTATTTTAATTCTTAGAGTCTATCCCCACAATGTATTTGGACTTGATTCTTTTTTCATCCCCTCATGCATGGTGACTTCTCTGTTAACACTAAGAATTGTGTGGATCATGAATAGGCTCTAAAACTCATTTGATCAAACTAATACTATATGAAAAGAAGGACCAGTCGTGCTTATCTTATGTAACAAAATCAACTGCCTGATAAATAATAAGACCTACTGGCTTTCACTCTTTATTGACAATTGTTTTGATGTCATGGTATATTTACATTGAGAGATATACCAACTACCATCAAAAAGTCAATGATGTCATTAAAATTAACAAATTAAACATGAATTTTTACACTTTCAGAATGGTTCCTTGATGTCATGTAGAAAACAGTTTAAAAACTGACTAAATAATGGAAAAATTTACATTTAGCCTGGCAGTGACTCTGACCATGAGAGAGCAGGCCAAGAGTCTAAGTCAAGTATTAACCAAAACAATATACAGTGGTTGCTGGCAAAGGCTGGTGCACAAACAGAACGTAATATTTATAACATTTAAAGTCTAAGACGAAACGAAGTTTTAACTTCAAAATGCTCTTATACATGTCTTTAAACCAGAAGTTCAGAGGGCATAATTTATTCCTTAAAGCATTCACCACTGTAATTCAGAAGGAAACTATAAAATAACCACAAGCAATTCTAACAAAACTCTAATGCTTCTGTGATGACTATTTTATCTATTTCTCTCTCTCTCTTAAATATCAGACCAGCTTCTCAATTTGTGAGGGTACTCTTTGGTCATGCCCTAAACATGTACTGCATCTTTTTACTGAATAATTTAGCATAGACACTTTTATTGGCATTTTGAAAATATTTCAGATTTTAAAATCTGAAGGTAATCTTTCCAATTTATAAACATGGAACATAAGTGGCACCCAAAAAACCTCTGAATAAATTTTCAGTCATCCCTGTCTTTCTCTATATGTAATATATACATGAATATATTCCTATCAGTGATATTATAAATGTATTTTCTCAGCGTGTAACAAATTTCAAATTAATATATCTAATGTACTCTATTAAAAAATAGATTCTGACCTTTATAGAGAATATTTTACATTTTTGGCTCATTTCAATATAAACAGTTAAGAAATTGTTCACCAATGATAAAGATAAAATAGCATTTTTTTCTGATATATTTTTAAGAGACCAAAACAACTGAAGTAGATAAAAATCCTGAAGATTATGATGCTAATTATCAGTCTAACATAAGTTCTTAAGTTCATAGGTCCAGGTTCTGAAATAAATTTAGGTCTAAAATTGACTAATTATGAAATTTTTAAGTTTATAGTAAAACCTAAAATTAGCCTGCCCATATTCTTTCAGGCTATTAGTATTATAAAACACATTTAAAAATCTGTATATAGCCAGGCGCGGTGGCTCAAGCCTGTAATCCCAGCACTTTGGGAGGCCGAGGTGGGCAGATCACAAGGTCAGGAGATCGAGACCATCCTGGCTAACACGGTGAAACCCCATCTCTACTAAAAATACAAAAAAAAAAAAAAAAAAAAAAATTAACTGGGCATGGTGGCGGACGCCTGTAGTCCCAGCTACTTGGGAGGGTGAGGCAGGAGAATGGCGGGAACCTGGAAGGCGGAGCTTGCAGTGAGCCCAGATCGCGCCACTGCACTCCAGCCCGGGCAACAGAGAGAGACTCCGTCTCGAGAAAAAAAAAAAAAAAAATCTGTATATAAAGTCTCAGTTAATGGTTATTAATTTTATGCTTTATATTTTTCTTGATGAAAAATGTTCTTACCAGCAAGAGGAGGGCCAAGAAGAACTGGGCCACACTCCACAACTGTGACAAGTCCGACGGCACTGGAAAATCTTGGTGCACCCACGAGGTCCATGAGAGTTTCAAAGAGAACACTGCTAACACTCCCAAATCCAAGGCCAAAAAATATAGCATATAATACCAGGCTTGTGTAGTCCTGTGCCAGCGGGCACAAGAGATGACACACTCCATTGAACATGATTGCAAAACTGAAGAAGTACTGAATTCGAGGTCGAATATGTTTGGAGTTTGCAATTAATCCTACAGAAGGCCTAGCAAACATATCAACGAAAGCCATAATAGATAGCAGAAAAGCTGCCGAGTACTCATCAATTCCCTGGTCTTTAGCATATGGAGCCAAGAATATAATGGGGGCAAAAAAACCTAGGAACATAATGACATTTCCAGACAGATATATCAGAAATCCTCTATGCTTAAAAAGGGAGAAATCTAAATACTTATTAACTTTTTCCCAAGTTGATTTCTTCGGTTTGATTTTCTTCTGGCCTGAATCGTCTTCTGTTGTGACAGTCTTATTTTTAGACTTAGAAGTGGTTTGACTGGGTCCAAGGGGTCTCATGAGGGACCCAGCCACACAGGCATTCAAAAGTAGACTTCCCAAAATCAGGAAACTTCCTTTCCAGCCAAAAGTATTAAAAAGGTACTGATTGAAAGGAGCCAATGAACTTAAGAAAACAGGACTTCCTGCCATGGCCAATCCATTTGCCATGGGTCGCTTCCTATAGAAGTATTTGCCAATTATTGTTAAGGCGGGTTGCAGGTTGAAGGCTAAACCTAAACCTAAAAAGAACAAAACAAAAGTGGGGGAAAACACAAACACATTATGGCACTCACAAAAGAAATTACTCCTCAAAATTTACATTCAAGGGGGAAAGGCAGAATTAAAAATGCAATAAGAGATAGTACATTTTGATTATTATAAATGTAATTGCACAAAAATAAAAAGGTTTTCATAATTGAACACTTGAAATGACAGTTTCATATTCCTTTAATTTTAAAGCACAAAAATAAAACTAAGAATTTCTACTGATGTATCAACAGTCATACAATAGGTTGAAACTAGGACAAAATTATTAGTTCTCAATTAAAATCATTTAATTACACAGATCCTTTCCTCTTGACATATACTTATATACACATATATGGAATAGATTTCTTCCTTGTGAGCAAGAGGGCAATATAAAGGTGTGAATACTTTCCTTTTGGCATTGAAGAATTATAAACAAACTAAAAAGGTCATAATTTGTAACAATCTTATGTCTCCCTACAAATGTTTGTTTGAACACCATGCAAATAACAAAAAGAGTAATGAATGTATGCCATTAATTTCATGCTCTACATCCCTCACATTCCACATTTAATGTATATAGATGCACATGTGTGCTAAGTAAAAAGGAATTTTTTGCTTGAAACATAGTTTTTAATTCAGGGATTAATGCTGATTGTTTATATGAGCCAAAGTCCCCACTGTCTAGGGAGCTCCTTGGCAGTGTTGAGTGTCACCTTTGGAAAATTAATTACCTCTTGTAGCTCACTAAAGTACTACCGAGCGATTGTAATAAATAAGGTCCTTTAAAAAGTACATTGATTGAGGCCGGGCGCGGTGGCTCACGCCTGTAATCCCAGCACTTTGGGAGGCTGGGGCAGATGGATCACGATGTCAGGAGATTGAGACCATCCTGGCCAACATGGTGAAACCTCGTCTCTACTAAAAATACAAAAATTAGCCAGACATGGTGGCAGGTGCCTGTAATCCCAGCTACTCGGGAGGCTGAGGCAAGAGAATTGCTTGAACTGAGGAGACAGAGATTGCAGTGAGCCGAGATCACACCACTGTACTTCAGTCTGGCAATAGAGCAAGACTGTCTCAAAAGAAAAAAAAAAAAAAAAAAAGGATATTGATTTACATAAAATTGACTTATATAACTATCTGTTGTTTTTCCTTAAACTAGGCATTACTCTATATTTATTTTAGGGGCTAGAGAGGTAAGAGTTCTTCTATATTTACAAATTTACCTAAATTGAAACAGTTCTGTAAAGTGGTTAAGTATTCCAGTTGTGAAATACACAGGTCTGTGTACAATACTCCAACCCTTTAATACAGACATTTTCTATAAGTAAGAGGACCCCTAAAAGCTGACAGGAAGGAATAAGAACATGCTTTGGTGAGTAACAGAATAGCATGTTCTCTAACACTATACCTCAGCCATACCTGTGAGAAATGCAGAATGAGTGTAATTAAATCCGATTTATAAATAACAAAACTGACCAGCCTGTGGTCAAGTAGCTTGTAAGTGGAAGAACCCAAACTAAAATCCAGGTATTATGGTTCAGAGCTTAAGTTTTTTTTATCTTATATCATTTTCCCCATTCTGTCGCCTGGAACTTTTGCCTTCAAATGTTAATCCATATTTTCATTTGGAAATAGTTGCCATCTCTTTCTCATTCTGGCATGGTAAAACGAACATAGACCTGAAATAAGTAGAACTGATCTGCTCCAAAAAAGTACCTATTTTATATTACTGGGCAAAACACTTAGACTTCCTGACCTCGACTTCACCTAACAACACAAAAAGATTTTGCCAAAATAAAGTAAGTTCTAGAACTGTAAGATGTTAAATAAATGGCATTGTGATTATTTGCAAACATTTATTTATGAACAGCAAAATTCTGGGTACACTGAAAAGTACTATGTATTCATTTTTTACATTAATCATTCTAATAACTCCTTTAAAAAGACCTATTATTTATCTAATTTTATAGATAAAGAAACTTAGGTATAAGGAGGTTAACGTACCCATGATCACACAGATAATATGTGTCAAGTTTAAATGCTAGATCTGTCTACTTTTGGAAACTGAAGTCAAAGTATTTGCTGATAATGATTTAAAGTAAATCCCTCATAGATGGACTTAATAATTAACTTTGGGGGCATCAAAGTATTTGAGACGCAAAGAATACAATTGTAAGTTGGAACACCAATAATGCCATTTATATCTGCAGTACAGGAAATAACAAAATCATCTTTTCCCTACTTGTAGGCCCATCCCGACTTCTACAGTCAAATGCAGTGGTCAATTTCTCTACACAAAAGAAAAGGCACTCTCTTCGCTATGACAATCCTTAGATATAAGATGATTTTCATTTATAATATTAAATGCATTTTGTTATACCAAAAAAGGAGAGAGATGTGGATAGATTGTAAAGAGAAAGATTTTAACATCACTATTATTGTACGCCTCAATACATTTTTTTCACCAAATGATACATGAGTGTAAGATTACACAAGTGTAAATATGTTTGCCTTTTTATCTCTGGGCAGAAAGGAAAGATTCCGTCTCTTTATATATTGAAGTCCAATTTTTCCTAATATGTTGAATATAAATTTGTAATGCAATTTTTTATTTAGACTAATAAAAAAGTGATTTTTGAAGTGTACATATTGTTGTCAGTTTGAGTCAATAGATATGTGCATGAGAAACAACTATGATCAAGTGACAGTAGGTCATTTTTAATACATGTGTTAGAAGAAAATGTGGCTCACCAAGCTTTTAAACAGGATCATTTCAATAAGAAAAAGAAGGAACAGAGTCAATGAGCTCTACCACTAATCGGAACAAGCAACAATAATTTTATTGTTGAAGCTAAATCAGTGCATCCAGAAAATATCTCTCTGGCATAATTTTAACATATTATGAGTGGAAAGTCAGATAGATACTGCAAATGGAAATAACTCATGAAAATAAGTTTTATAATAATTAAGGTATTTATTTACATCAGAAAGTCTATGTCCAACAACACCATCTCCACTGGCTGAAAAGTAAAAAGCAAAAAAGAAAAAAAAAAAAAAAACTACAGCTGTTTTATTTTAAATTTATGTGATAATATGTAACTTGTCTGATAACTTTATTTTTTTAAAAATGAAATGTTTGGCCATTATATAGCTTGAATTTCATTTCAATGTACTAGATGGAAATACTTTAAAACTGCATTGTTTAAAAAAAGTTAATTCAAAGAAAATAAGAATTTTCTATTGTTCATTCTTCTCATAGAGTTTTGAAAACAACAGAAGAGTTAAGAATAAACTGAAGACTAAACGACTTACCTGTAATGAATCCCACAGTGAGGTACAGCTCGATCACGCTGCTACTGAAGGAGGCCAACACCATTCCAAGACAGCATAATAAGCCTCCTGCTATCACCACCGGCCGGCTGCCGTATTTATTCACCAAAACACTACTTATAGGACCTAGAGCAGAGAGGAGATAAAGAAATATTCAGTTGCTATTGTCATTTATTTGTTTATCTTTAACATCCAATCATTTGGAAAGGCAAGAAAGCACATTTTAATGGTCAGAGGAGAAATATTAGTTCACATAAAATATAATGAGAACTTTCCAATACTTCACAAATGATCAGTTTGAGAGGTTATTTTCAGTCTTATGTATAAAAGCACATGAAATAATAAATTAGAAGTGTTTAACATATATTTTGTCACAACCATAATCATTCAAATCTTGATGGAAAAGTTTTTCAATAGAACATAGCTAAAATATCCAAAATATCTTAACAGATACAGGTAAATTTATGTAATAAAAAATCGAGGAATTACATAAATGACTTGTCTGTTAAAATTTTATTTTTGAGAATAATGTGTATACACATACATATGCCATTAATTAGAGCTGAAATTGTTTTTTAAAATTATCTTCAACAATGATTTTTCTTTAATACCATAATTTGTTGATTCTGGGACACCTATTGTTTTCACATCCTATCATATTAGCAATAAGGATGTCTTACACCTAATGACTTCTTCCAATCTAGGTTCATCAAGAGGCAGTCATGGTAGTAATGTTGTTATCATGGACGATGCATGTTTGAATTTGCTTATTATTTCCTGTGGCTCGATTGGACAATGCTTAATCACATTTCAATAGAACCTTTTAAGGAGCATTTGAAAAATGAATATAAACATGGATCCTGATTTTTGCCTGAAAGATCTTCTGTTGACACATTCTAGTAAGGTAGAATAAATAGCAACATCAAAACTTAAAGATTGGGTGCAGCTCTTTGGATGAAATTACTAGAAAAAAACGGTGGATCTCGCTGTTAAAATATATTGCACACTGACAAAGAGAATAAGCTTAGGTGTGAGATGTGAATGTTGAAAACTCAGACTCCAAAGTAATTTAGAAGAGTCAGATAGTGAAAGGGAAGAAGGTTTAGGAATGTCTTACCAATTTTTTAATGTATATTTTCCATTGTATATCTGTGTGTGCATATACATAAAATATTCACAAGTGATTAAAATTATTAAAATAATCTGCATTTAAGTCTAAAAAAGTTCTTTTGGTAGTTATAAAAATTCTAAATGTTGAGAAACTGTTTTATTTCAGTGACAGCATTATTTTCTTTCTTGGTATACTATAAAATAACAGTGCAACTTAACAATTGAGACTATCTTAGACTCAATGAAATTCCATAGTATTTTATGGGACTTGTCAATGTATAAATGGCTTGCTTTGACATTTCATTCTTAAAGTAAAATTGTATTTCATCTGAAACTAGGGTCACTATTTGGAGGAAATAAATACTATGTTAGGTCAGAATTTTCAATCAAATATTTGGCCTAAAAATTTTTTAGCTAATACTATGGTGTTAAGAATTTCCAAGTGTATTGTATTTGAGAATTTTTACATGAATCATATATAAAACACATTGAGATTCATTTATCAATGCACCCATATCCTTTTATACAAATATAACTATGATTTTTATTCTGCAAAAAAAATGTAAAATTAAACGTCAATGCCTAATATTATTTATTACTCCACAATATCTTTTGAAAGAATATTGGTAATAACACACAATTTCAGAAAGAGATAACAAACACAGAATACAAAAGTTTGCATTTATAATAGCAATCAACATAAAACTCTAAAAAGGCCACATGAAAGCTCTATAAAAACAACAGGGTTTGGAGGGAAGAAATCAATGTAAATTGTACTAGTTGTATAAAAAGAATATAATTATGTCCATAACATGGTAAAGTTCACCTGAAGAGCTGAAGGAAATTAATAATTATACATGTAGAGAATATACATAACACATATTATGTAAGATATACCCCAGAGACATTGCAGGTGAGGTTCCAGAGAACCTTGATAAAGCAAATATTGCAATAAAGTGAGTCACAAATTTTTTGGTTTCTCAGTGCATATAAAAGTTATGTTTACACTTCACACACTATATTAAGTGTGCAAAGAATTATATCCAAAAAGTGCACATAACTTAATTAAAAATATTTTATTGCTAAAACATTTAATGATAATCTGAGCCTTCAGTGATTTTCAGTCTTTTTCTAGTGGAGGGTCCTGTCTTGATGTTGATGGCTGCTGACTGATCGGGGTGGCAGTTGCTAAAGGCTGGGGTAGCTGTGGCAATCTTGTTGTTGTTGTTGAGACAGGGTCTTGCTCTGTCACCCAGGCTGGAGTGCAGTGGATTGATCATAGCTCAGTGAGGCCTTGACCCCTGAGACTCGAGACCCTCCCAACTAAGTCTCCCTAGTACCTGGGACCACAGGTGTGTGCCACCACGCCTGGCTATTCTTTTTTTTTTTTCGTAGAGATGGGGCCTTGCTATGTTGCCCAGGTTGGTCTTGAATTCCTGGGCTCAAGTGATACTACCACCTCAGCCTCCCCAAATGCTGGGATTATAGGTGTGAGCCATTGTACCTTGTTGGCAATTGCTTAAAATAAGACGAACAGGTTTGCTGCATCAGTTGACTCTTCCTTTCATGCAAGATTTCTTTGTAGCATGTGATGTCATTTGACAGCATTTTACCCACAGCAGAACTTTCAAAATTTGAGTCAATTCTCTCAAACCTTGCCACTGCTTTATCAACTAAGTTTATGTAATATTCCAAATCTTTTCCAGTTATATCAACAATATTTACAGCATTTCCTTCAGGAGTAAATTATATTTCAAGAAACCACTTTCTTGGCTCATCCATAAGAAACAACTCTTCCTTGATTCAAATTTTATAAGACTGCAGCAATCTAGTCATATCTTCAGGCTCCACTTCTAATTCTAGTTCTCTTGCCATTTCTACAACATCTGCAGTTACTTACTTCACTGAAGTCCTGAACCTCTTAAAGTCACCCATGAGGTTTGAAATCAACTTCTTCCAAACTCCTGTTAGTGTTGGTATTTTGACCTCTTCCCATAAATAATGAGTGATTGTAATGTTATCTAGAACAGCAAATCCTTTCCAGAAGGTTTTCCATCTCCTTTTCCCAGATCCATCAGAGGAATCATAAGTATGGCAGCTGGTAGCTTACAAAATGTATCTGAATTTTAAGAATTGAAAGTTGAAATGACTCCTTTATCCATGAGCTACAGAATGAATGTTGTATTATCAGGCATGAAAACAATATTAACCTCCTTGTACATCTCTATCAGAACTCTTGGGTGGCCCAGGTACATCATCAGTAAGCAGTAATATTTTGAAAGGAACTTTTCTTCTTAGCAGCAGGTCTCAACAGTGGGCTTAAAATATTTAGCAAACTATGCTGTAAACAAATGTGCTATTATACAGATTTTGCTATTCCATTTATAAAACACAGGCAGAACAGATTTGGCATAATTATTAAGGGCCCCCGAATTTTCAGAATAGTAAATGAGCTTTGCTTCAACTTAAAGTCGCCAGTTTCATTGGCCCCTAACAAGAGAGTCAGCTTGTCCTTTGAAGCTTTGAAGACAAGCATTGACTTCTGCTCTCTACCTATAAAAGTCCTAGATAGCATCTCCTCCCAATAGAAGGCTATTTCATCAACACTGACAATCTGTTGTTCACTGTAGTTACCTTCATCAATGATCTTAGCTAGATCTTCAGGATAATGCTGCAGTTTCTAATCAGCATTTGTTGCATCACCTTTCACTTTTATGTTAGCAAGATGGCTTCTTTCCTTAAACCTCATGAATCAACATTTACTAGCTTCAAACTATTCTTCTGCAGGTTCCTTACCTTCAATAGAATTGAAGACAGTTAGGGCCCTGCTCTGGGTTAGGCTCTGGCTTAGGGAATGTTGTGGGTGGTTTGATCTTGTATCCAAACTTCTAAAACTTTCTTCACTTTTCCTTTGCATTCACAACTTGGCTAACTTTAGTGCTAGAGACCTAGCTTTCAGCCTGTGCTTTCAGCACCTTTCTCATAAAGGTGAATCATTTCTAGCTTTTGATTTAAAATGAGAGACTTGCGACTATTCCTTTCACTTGAACACTTAGAGGCCACTGTAGGTTTATTAAGTGGCCTAATTTCAATACTGTTACATCTCAGACAATAGAGAGGCCCTAGAAGAGGGGAAGAGATAGCAGAACAGCTGGTCTATGGAGCAGTGAGAACACACACAACATTAAACTTACCCTCTTATATGGGCACAGTTCATGGCACCCAAAAACAATTACAATAGCAACATCAAAGATAACCATAACAGATATAATAATAATAAGACTTTGAAATACTGTGAGAATTACCAAAATGTGACACAAGACACAAAGTCAGCACATGCTGTCAGGAAAAATAGTGCCAACAGAGTTTCTGAAGGCAAGTTTGCCACAAACCTTTAATTTGTAATTAATGCCATATTTGCTAAGTGCAATGAAGTGAAATGCAATAAGTAGAAGTATACCTGTATTCCAATTTTTTGATTTTTTGCCTCTAAATGATAAAAGGGCAGTATAGTTATTTTCATTTCTTAAGTTTTGGTAAATGTTTTTGATAGACTTCTCAGAAATGCTAAGTTTATTGACTAGAAATAATCTTTTTGTTAATCAGATGGTTTCCAATTTTCTGCTTTTCACAATATTGAGGACAATTCAAATGAATTGTCAGCCCACAGATCATTACAAATAACATTTGATAATAAACCATTATGTGATTTTTGGCAAGTTCAAATAATTGACTAACACTGAAAATAAAATACTTTCCACTGTCATCTACTTTATTATGTGAACAAGTTACTCAGCCTGTACCTCAATTAAAAACCAAGAAAGAAATACAATGGAGACAAAAACCTGTATCTGCTTAGCTAGCACTAAAAAATATTCATCTATAGATACACAGTATGGCTACTGATTTCATTAAAAGACACATTTCGAGTCAAATGTTTACATTTTATTTAGTAGTTATCTTATTTTGGTTGGAATCTGCTATAACAGTATTATAATAGAATATTTTAACCATGT